GATACCGAATCACAAGAATCACAAGAAATTTGAAGCCGAGAGTGGGGGAAACCGAGGCTGCCCTGCGGCCCCTTGGGCCAGGTGTGTACGGCCAGCCTCCACTCCTTTCTGTGTGACCTTAGGGAAATCCCCCTGCCCGAACTGCTGGGTCTCTACATGGTCCAGTAGATCGGGAAGCCAGCGCTTGTGTGCTCCAGAGCCTGTGACCTTGGAAAGGGTGGTGGAAGCCTAATCCCAAGAGTGGGGGGACAGGTTCAGCCTGTAACAAAGGAGCCCGCTGTCTGCTGTCTGGTCCCCCTCCAGGGGCCATGCCAGTCCCCCCAACCCCCATCAATTCCCGTGGGACTCAGCTTCCAGGGGATGACAGGAGTCATTGCCCCTTTCATGGCTGACAACACTGAGGCCAACAGGACCGGTTGTGGGCAGTGGAAGAGCAGAAAGGGTAGCCCGCCAATCTCCTACTCAAGTCTGAGGGGTGGGGGGTCATGCCTCATCCTATCAAGCTGAAGAGAGATCCCCCAGTGAAGGGGGCTCATGATGGTTCAAGGGGTTCCTTGGTCCGGGTGGGTCTGCAGGTCCCCTGGCACATGGGGGTGGTCAGGCAAGGGGTTTCTGGGGCTTGGGAGGAAGGGTCAAGGGCTGGAGAGTGGCCACAGCCACATGCAGAGAGCGAAAGGCTGTCCAAGAGTGCATGTTTTCACCATGCGTGACAAGCAAGACAGGCAGGACAGAGTCCCGAGCAGGAGGAAGCTGATTTTGTGTTTGGCGTTTCTGGGCCAGCACTTCCCCTCTTTGGGTCTCAGTGTCCTCATCTGTACCTGTAGCTGAGGGGGAAGCTGGGCTGGAGCAGAAGGGACAGGCCCCCTCCGCTTCCTCCCCGCAGCCCAGACTTCCTGTTCAGCCACATCTAGGGGAATTGGAAGGCTGGGGCTGGTCTTCCCTTCACCACTGCCCACCTCCAGGCTGGGTGACCTCAGCAGCATTGCAAAGCGCGGTATTATTGTCTGCCAAATGGGGCAAAACCTGCCAAGCCTCTCTGTCTCTCTCTCGGATGGGACCAAGTCATCTGTAATGCCCCCAGTAGTGTACGAAGAACGACCTCCCTGGGTCTGCCTGCCCTTGGTCCCCTACAAGATGGCCAAGGGCCCATGCCCACTCCCACCACAGAGCAGCACACACCCGTGCACACCACTCCCATGTCCCCCTGCACACATGTATGATTCCACAGTCATAGGGATGTGTGGTGTGCACACTTAAGCGCGCCACACAGACCCATCTACTACTGAACTCACTGGCAGGACTCCCATGTAGCACATTTCAGGAGGCAGCCCTGTGTGTGGGTCCATGTGGACCACGTGCCCATCCCCATGGACACAGACTTACACACTGCATCATGCAATACACACGAAGACTCACACTCAGATCTGCAGAAAGGCGAGTGCAGAGTGTGCCTGCACTTCCGTGTACATGCGTGCCCTGGGACACAAGGTCTCACCAGGTCCAAGCCCAGCCCCAGAGTTATTCTGGGCCAGGCCTGGGGCGAACAAAGTCAGAGATGGCCAGCACCCAGCAGGCCCCAGCCACTGTGTCACAGGCCTAGCTGGCCCTGTTCCCCACCCCCACCTGACCTCACCCCCACCACCCCCAGCCCAGGCTAAGTCCAAGATATCTCAGTTCCCAGCCTGGCTCTGTGGCCAGGAAGATACCAGTTCCAAGCCTCTGCTTCACCAGAGCTGAGCCTCGAGCCCTGGCATTTCTGGCCCCAAGAAGGAGCTGTCACAGTTTCCCCTGGCCACCATCAATTGACTCTGCCCATGGCCTCCAACCCAGAGGCCCAGGAGACGGGACTGGGTCCCCACCGGAAATCCACAGAAGCTTAAAAAAGCACACAAAGGACAAACAGGATTCTGTGGGCCAGGCTTCATGCCACCATGCATGGAGTGGGGACACTTGTCTTCCAGGGGAGCCTGGCTGGGGAGCCTGAGGGTCTAGACTTCTGCCAACCCAGACTTGATGGGCCCTGTTGGCGGTAGGGTGCAGGGGGATCCTGGGAAGGACTAGAAATAGTACTGGGCAGGGGCAGAGCCTGGGTCAGGGGCCACAGAGACTGAGTCTGAGTCCTCTGTTCCTGTGTGACCTGACGGAGGGCACAACCCCTCTCCGGCCTTCAATTCCTCATAAGTACACGGAGGAGAGGAAGAAGAGCCTTCCAAGATAGAAAAGCCTTTTTAGCTTTTCGGGTGTTTCTTTCACCGTGGTGTTTCACATTTTGGAGAACTGGGGAAAATGCAAATATTTGACAGGCATTGAGTGAGGTGCTGCTGGGTTTTTTCTTTTTCTTTAAAGATTTTGTTTATTTAACAGAAACAGTGAGAGAGGAAACACAAGCAGGGGAGGAGAGAGAGGGAGAAGTAGACTCCCCACTGAGCAGGGAGCCCAATGCGGGGCTCAATCCCAGGACCCTGAGATCATGACCTGAGCCGAAGGCAGACGCTTAACGACTGAGCCTCCCAGGACCCCCAATGCTGCTGGGTTTTACTACTGTGTGATATCACACTGCCTTTCCACACAATAACCACAACAGAATGACTAGCATGGCCCAAAGGCTTGCGACGTGCAGGGGTCATGATACTGCTGTAACCCATTTTACAGATGAGGGATTGAAGCTCAGAGAGGTTAGTTGCCCACTGAGGTCTCACAGCCATCAAGATGACCATGACCCTGGAGTCTTAGTTTTAAGCTTTACTAACTTTAGATGTTATAAAGTATAAAGCTACAAACTTTCATCAACTTTTGCCATCTCTACAGGGCAAAAAGAGGAAATTTGAATAAACTTCTGAACTGTGTTTCTTGTAAATTTGCAGCTTCATACTTCTCAGGTTATAAAAGCTTAAAACTGTCCTGTTTCAGGACTCCCTGTTTTTTTAAAGTCAGTTTGACTTCAAAGCCTATGCGACAGTATTTGACAGTGCCTTTGGGGGACATGTGGGTCTAGGATTGTCGGGCTGGGTAAAAGCTCTGGGTGAAAAAAAAAAGCCTGCAAAGAAATGGAACCCATGTGGAACAATGGCTATCTCAGGGGACAGTAGGAACACACATGATTATATTCCCTTTCAGATTTCTTCACTGAGCTTGCCCTACTTCTTGGATGGAAAGACTGAACTTTGAGGGAAATACCTCTCCTGGGCTGAGCCATCCTATGCTCAGCGCTCCCGTAATCCTTAGTTCAATATCATGGTCCCAACAGCCCCTTGATACAGTCTTATCCTTTCCATTCCACAGATGAGGAATTCAAAGTAGAGAGGAGTAATGGCTTCCCCAATGCCACTGTCAGGCCCACTAACCTCAGCCCACTCCAGCCAAGGCCTCTCTGATCCTATGTCCCAAGGCTGACCCTCCCTCCCTGGAGGGTGTGACTTTCCCTAGCCTGACCTATGACAGATGGCGTGAGGAAGTGGGAACTTTAGCAAGTGACTTGAGCCTTAGTAGAATTCCTGTTTGCCTGGCTTGGGCGAGCATGGGGAGGATGGGGTGGCCCAGTCCACCCAGCCCTCAGCCTTGGCCACCCCACTGGCAAGGATCCCTTGAGCCAGCTGTCCTTTGCCAGTGGCTCTTCTGTTTCTGCCTGCCTTGTGATCTCCCAGACCTGTCCCCTGTGGGTGTCCACAGCTGGCCCTCTGCTCTCTGCTGTCACTCGCCTTGGTCCTCGCCCATCTGCTGCATCTCTATGCTCTGTAGCTACAAGGTCCCTAGTTCTGAGGGCGGACCCAATGCTCGAAGCCCCTCAGCCTTCTCCCCTGTCTATGGTGATGAAGAATGTAGGGTCCAACAGCTGGCTGGTTCTCCAGCACTCTGAAAGCACAAGATAAATAACAATGGAAAAAAAGGAGAGAGGAGGATGGGAGGAAGGGAGGAAGGAAGAAAGGAAGGGAAGAAGGAAAGGAGGGAGGAGGGAGGGAGGGAGGGAGGGAAGTAGGAAAGGGAAGAAGAGGAAGGATGGACCAGAGAAGTCTCCCCACCCCAGACCTCCCTCCTCCTCCTTCAGAGCCCCTGTGGTCTCTACAGCTCCTCAGACCCACCCTCCCTCCATCCCTGGGTTGTCAAGGCTCATCGTGAGTTGACGACCAGAGAACATGTGGGCCAGGTTGAGTGTGAGGTCAGGATCATGCCTCAGACTGGAGTGACAATGGGGGCTCAGACTGTGGCAGAGGCTCAGGGTCAGCCAGAGTTAGGAAATGGTCCTCCAGCCCTTCCAGGTGGAGCCTTCACTGTCTCGTGGGGCAGCAGATGCTGGCTCTTCAGGAACCTTCCATAGTACCCACAACTAGAGTGCTGACCATACCATCCCCAGGTCCCCATCCCCCTCTCTAGCTATGGTGTCCAGAGTGACCAGACCCGTTTCTGGGCAGGAAGCCAGCCCAGAAAGCCCAGGACATCCCTGAGCGCCCGTCCCTATGGCAACCTGCCTGCCAACCCCCCCCACCTCCCCCCCCACTTACCACCCCTCCAACACCCCCCCCCCCACCCAAACTACCATCACCAGCCTGGGTCCAGTAGGGTTTTTCAAATTCAAAACGTCAGACTGGGAAGGGCCTCCTAGATCAGCAGATGTTAGCCCCTCCCCTTGCCCCAGATGGAGAAACTGAGGCCCGACTGGGGCAGGGGTGGGGTGGGGTGGGGTGGGGGTGGGACCTGTAGTTCAAGGACCCGCCCCCAGCCCATCCTCCTCCTCCCACCCGCTCCCACCCCTCGGGCGGGCTGGGTGAGGTTAGGGGAGGGGGATCCAGACTCTTATCCCCCAGGGGATGGGGGGCGGGCCCTGGGCGGGCAGCACGGGAACCAGACACCAACGATGAATAAATGATGCCCACTCGCGGCCTGCGACCAGATCGCCGCCGCGAGCGCCGGCTGGCGGGGCGGTCACCGGGCCAACCGCGCCTGGCCCCGCGCGACCGGCTCCCCCCACCTGCGGCCGCGGGCGCGGAGCTGCGGGCGCGAAGATGGCGAGGCGGCGACGGGGCGCGGGGCCCCTCTGGGCGCTGGGGCTCTGCCTCGCTAGGGTCGCCGGGCAGCTGGTAGAGGTGAGGCGTGGCGACGCGGAAGGGCCAGGGAGGCGGTGGCCCGCCAGCAGAGGCTTAGGGAAAGCCCTTCTGCCTGGGAGCTGGCTTTTTCCCTTCCAACTGCCCTCGCAGACCTGGATCATGGGGTGACACTGCCCTGTCCCCTGCGCTTCCAGGCTGTCCAGGAGACTCAGCCCCCAAACTTAGGGTCCCTGATGGGAGGGTACAGCCCCAGATTTCAGTCTGGTGGGGGAGACTCACTCTGATCATATGGATTCCCAGTCCAGGGATACAGCTATGCTCAGTCAGCCCTTACCCTCTTGCCTTTGGTCTAATGAGGGCCAGGGAGGGGTGGGGGAGACAGAGTCCTTGGTGTCAGTGACCTCTAATCTGATAGGGGAGATCTAGTCCCTGATTTTAGTCCCTGAGCTTAGGGTCTGCTTAGATCTAGTCCCTGATCTTAGTTCCTGATCTTAGGGTCTGCTTAGATCTAGTCCCTGATCTTAGGGTCTGCTGGAGGAAAAAGCTTCTGCTGATGGGGGTGTCATAGCCTTGGGAGCGTGAGGGCTTTCCAAGCTGGAGGGTGGGGTCAGGGAGACAACGAGACCGAGACCGTTTACAGAGGAGCCCTGTGTTGAGTTCAGCTCCCATGTGGAGCACTCGGCCCCAGAGGGGAGGTACAGGCAGGGCGGGACCCAGGGCTCAGGGGGTCTTACTTGGTCATGGTGATCATGGAGAGCCAGCAAAGGTCTCTGAGCAGGGAAGAGTCGTGGATGAGTTTTGGTGTGGAAGGAGGAGGACAAACCGGAAGAGGGCATGTAGTTGGGGGAGCTGGGGGCACTGCTGAGATAGCCCAGTAAGGTGAGGAGGATGGGTGGGGTGGATGGCCAGGAGCATGGCTGGGGCCAGAAAGGGCTGGGAGGGGAAGAGTGGGGACCATTGCAGCCTCCCTGTCCCCTCTGTCCCCAATTCCTGCTGAGCCATGAAGGGGAGCCAAATAGGCAGACCAGAACGAGAATTCTGAAACATGAGGCCAGATGGAAAGGCCCAAGAGGCAGGGCCAAGGAGGAGCAGGATTCGGAGCCTGTGCAAGGGGCAGAGAGGAGAGAGCAGAGAGAAAGGACAAGAAACAGTGAGGCGTCCAGGAGAGCCCTTGGGAGCAGGTGCCAGGGGACAGGATGGGAGAGGGAGAACAGAGTCTTATCCTGAGGACCTAAGAGGACACAGCCCTGAACCTGAGGGTCCGAGGGACAAGAAGACAGAGCCGCGTTCCCCAATACTAAGCCTGTCCATGCTCCTGACCAGGGGGTGTGATCAAAAGACTGGGCTGGAGTCAGGTGTCAGCTCCAGTGTCCCTGTAAGGGGAGCCAGGCTGGCCTGAGTCACACAGAGTGTACCTGGACCCCTTCTTGGCTGCCCCAAGGCCTTGGGTGCAGAAACTGAGATGGCCTGGGTGCGGGAGAAGGTGGAGGGTGGCGGTCGTGTCAGTTCTGAGCCAAGGACTCTTCCCCTCAGCCCCCGGTAGCTCATCTTCTCCCCGCTCATCAAGGGAAATTGCATTTGCAGTCCATCTGCCTGCCATTTGCCTACAGCCTGAACAAGGGCCTGGCTGAGCCCAGGGGATCCAGGCAAGCACCAGAAAGATGGGTAGGGCGGGAGTCCGCAACACCACCCACAACAGCCCCTCCAGGCATCATTCTCCAGCTGCTGGAGCCTGGGGCTCCCAAGCTTTAGGTTTAGACCTTCTGCAGTGCCCACCACAGAGATGGCCGACTCTTGCCTATTACCTTCTACCCAAGATCCCTATCAGGGTGAGATTAGAAGCTCAATTCCGCCCGGAACAAGGCTAGAATGAGAAGGTGTCAGAAGTGGGCTCTCAGCTACCCGGGCTCAGAATCTGAGATCTCGTTTCTGGACCTCAGAACCTTCCAGCCATACAGCCCATCTGCACCAAACACACTGAGCCTTAGAATCGGGAAGCCAGCCACTGCCCAGAACCTGGCCCTGACTCTACAGACCTATGACTGACCACAGATGCATACCCCCCACAGCACGCATGCCTTGTACCTACACACATGTGCCCTGAACCCACAGAGGTGCCTGACCCCACATACATGTGTCTCACCCTACAAATGGATCCAGGCCCCCAGGATGATGCTGAGGAAGGGTATCTTCTCCTCATCATTACCACTCTGATTGGGTAGAGAGAGCTTCCCAGAGAGCCCAGGAACCACCTGACTCAAGTTACAGATGGAGAAATTGAGGCTTAGAGGTAACAAGTTTACCCTGACCCAGGGAAAAGTGCTGGGGAATCACCAATCCCAAGCTCACAGGTTACCTGGGACGTGCTGAAGGGCGGTGTTGTTGAGATGAGGAAGCTCCTGGCTTGTGGTAGGCGCACAGCCCATGCTCATGGACCAGGGGAAAGACCAGATGGATGGTTGAGCTTCGAGCTGCCTTTCCTTCCTAGAGAGCCAGAGGAGACTGCAGGTCCTGATTCAGTTAGTCAGGAGACAGCGAAGTCCACAGATGCCCCAGTGTCCTCTCTCCCTCTGAGCCTTAACCAATCCCACCCGCCCCCAATCTCCCCCCCTCTCCATGGCCCACATCCCTCAGCCTAATTTGGTGACAGAGATAGGGTCATAGCCCTCTCAGCCCCTCAGGTTAGGGACAGGTCCTGCCCAGACCCACTGGGCAGGGTCTTGTTCCCTCAGTCCCCCAGGGCAGGGCTGTGTCTCCTAGACTCCCAGAGCAAGGTGGGATCCCACTGGGAAGGTGGGATGTTCCAGCCATGCTTACAATGCTTGGCCTCTAGGTGTCGCTGCCGGCTTGCAGACTATTTCTCTTGTCCTGTCCTGGGAGGGCTCCGGCCTAGCCCATAGTCAGAAGAGGACTCTGGCAGGAGAGGCAGATGTTGAGGTCACCCAGTGGGGGTCCTGGCCAGGAAGCAAAGCCACGGGACCTGGGTCCAGCTCCACACCCCACCCCACACTGAGGATGCCTGGAAGCAAAGTCCCCCAGGACAGTACTGGCCTCGCCTTGTCTCTGGCCTTGGTCCTGAGACCCCATTTGCCTATGGGGCCCCGGACTGGAGCAGGAGGCGAGACTAGCAGTCTGCCTGAAGGGGACTTGAACCTGATTGGGACAAGCCATCCACCTTTGCCCCTTTAGGCCTTGGTGTCCTCAGGCACCCTGGTACTCCAGGTCACTGGCTCCATGGTTCTGGGGCTCTGCTTTCTTCTCTCGCTCTAAACCTGGAACCTCCCAAGGTCCAGGGCGTTGGCTGTGACTGTCTAAGACACCTGATTCTAGATGATTCTGGAATACTCGGGCTGAGTCCTTACTGAAACCTGGGCCTCTCTCCGCCCAGGCCCAGCCCCAGCCCAGCCCCAGCCCCTGGTCTCTGCCTGGCTTCACTTCCCTCTCTCCCGACCTGCAGCCCAGCACGGCCCCGCCCAAGCCCAAGCCACCCCCGCTGACCAAGGAGACGGTGGTGTTCTGGGACATGCGCCTCTGGCACGTGGTGGGCATCTTCTCGCTCTTCGTGTTGTCCATCAGTGAGTAGCCGCTCTCCGCCCCCTCCCACGCCACTGCAGAAGCCCAGCACCCCCTGTCCCCACCCCCATCCCTACCAGCACCACCCCCTGGGGGCTCAGAGCAGCAATTCCGGGCAGTCGCCCGCAGGAGGCCCACTGTGGTTTCTGGCATCTCCTGGTCTACACAGAGTCCCTGTGGAGGGCTGACAGGCTGGTGGTGACCTGAAGTATTCTGCCCGGCTGGGACACAGCCACACGGCAATTACGGTAATTACAGGGGACTCCACTGAACCAGGATGAGGACGTGTCATTTTTCCCTATCGCTGGCCTCCCGATGCTTTTCCTGCAGTTGGGCTTGCTTAAAGGGCCCACACCCAGAGGCCCCAGCAAGGCCATCCTTGGCTGCGGCTCAGCCTAGAGGCTCCCCAGACGCCCGGCAGATGTGGCTCCCGGGCTGGAAACCGTGCCGTGTCAACTCCCACTCCCCTGGAATGACTCACACCCCCCCTCAATTAAAAGCAGGAGACCCCTCCTCTCCCGGGACTGGGAGTTGTTGGATGCGAACTCACAACAGAAATGGGCTTGGCATGCTCCCTTCGGCCCTTCCAGAGTAGGGGGTCTGCCGCTGGGGAAAGAGGGGCAGAGAAAGGCCAACGGAAGGGGGAGGCCGCCAGGGTACAACATAGAGTCTGACAACACTTTCCATACACCATGGATCGGAGGAGACGCAGGCAAGGAAGAGAAAGAAAACCCACTCCCCCTACACAAGCTTCATGGAGAAGGGTCTCTTAGCTGCGCATCAGTGAGAGAATGCATAGTTTTGCCAGGTGGGCAAGTGGAAAAGCATTCCAGGCAGAGAGGACAGTGTAAGCAGAGGTGGGAGGAAATGCCCCCGACACAAAGTCTCAGATCTCCGCTATAGGATTTTTGCTGACTGCACCCTGGGTCTGGCCAGCGAAAATGTCATTTAAGTTCTAGCTGGAGCTGCCCCAGGATGAAGTCCCCTGGAGGGCAGCGTCCCGGCAGAGGGCCCACCCAGAAGTAAGGACTCCAAGGGAGACAAAGACATCTGATTTGCATGTGCTTCTCCTGGCACCAGGAAGGCCCTCCTTGTGGGAAAATAATCCACACCCCACCATCACCATTTCTTCACGGCTGGGGTGGGAGTGGGAGCCGAGCAAGAGGCTACATTTCATTCCCGGCCAAGGCAAGAACTACTGAGTCCTCTCCGTGGAGGCCCTGCGGACAGCCAGCTGTGGCTGCGGCCCCAGCCCAGGTATCCAGAGGGGAAACCATGGCCCCGTCCGCCACCCCACACCTGCACCCCAGCACCAAGAGGCAGGATTCCGGGAGGCATCTGCCTGCTGGAGCAGTGTAGGGTGCAGGTCAAGGGAGCTGTTCTGGGGTACTCCAGGGAGTAGGAGTGAGGACACCACAGGCTATCCTCTCCGGGCCCTGCTCGGCCCCAGACAGAGGAGGTGCCTAGGGCCACACAAGGAGGTTGCAATGTCAGACCCAAAGAGGAGCTTGGACGTGAAGCATGTAGACCAGCTCCTACACCCCACCCTATTTCTTAGAAAAGGGTAAGGGAGAGTCCCAAAGGCCTCTGAGCAGCTGGTCTCTACTCGTTGTCACCTTCTGTGCCAGGCTCTAGGGAGCAGAGATGGCCTAGCCCCATCTCCTGGGGATGAAGCATCTTTCCTGACTCCCAGTCAGCTTGGGCCTAGTGGCACCGCTGTTGGTGGCGTGTCACCCCAGAACCTTGAGCAGAGGGGCTGGGTTTGGATGGGGGTGCCCTGGGAGGTCTCTCCAGCCTGGGGACTCACATTGCAAGCCCCTGTTGGGGCCCTGGAACTCCATCCAAGGCACATTGTGTTTTTCCTTCTTTTACGAGAAATGACCAGGCCAGGCTGGGTGGGGCAGGCCTGGAACGATGGGCGGCGTCTGAGCCCTGAGCCAGGTGCCAATAGCTGAGCTCCCTTTGGAGCCCAGGCTTTGCGGGGCCTGGGACCAGCCTCTGGGGAGAGCCTGAGCAAGCACGTGAGAGGACGTGCCCAGCGGGTGGCTGGAAGGGGTGGCCCAAGCCAGCAGGATCAGGGCTGTGGGCATACACACTGGGGCCTGGAGAAGACTAGAACCCAGCTTCGAAGGGATAAGAAAGGCTTATCCAAGGTGCCAGGAGAAGCACATGCCCCTGGACAGCCCTGTGCAGTCAGACCTACTGCTGGGGTCTCGTGCAGTCCCCCAGAGATCCTGATTATTGTCAGCTCCGCTGTCCATCCATTCGGGAATCTGGTTGTCCTCAGGAGCAAAGGATTTGAGAGCATCTCATGCATTCATTCATTCATTCATTTTTTTTCTCATTCTGTGAATCTGGGGGAGACTTAGTGGGGCCACAAGATTTGGCTGAAGGGGTTGCGTAAGTTGACCCCAAAGGGTGCTCCAGCCCCGGCTACATCGGTCTAATCCATCTTCCTTAAAATAGGCCTGGCTTGTCCTGCTTGGCCATCCTACCCCCAGGAGTCTGCCAGGAAGTTATGTCCTGTCATCCGATTTATAATAAGCAGCAGCCCGGTCCCCTCCCCTGAGGCCGGGGCCAGGGTGGTCAGACTGTGGGGCCTTAGAAAAACAAACTCAGTCCAGCCAGGTCCTGGCAGCCGTGCCCAGCCCTGCCCATCACTAGACAGGCCAGCTCCATTCCTTGGCCCAGCTCGCGTGGGCACAGCTGCCTTCAGCCGGAAAACCGCTCCTGGAATAACTATCTGCGTAAACGCCCCAGGGCAGGGTCTGTGCCCTCTGGGGGACCCTCGTGGCCAGGAGAAGCCCAGTCTTGTCCTCAGGGAGGTTGAGGAAGACATGGCCCCGTCCTTCAGTGTCTGAGGTCCTCTCAGGAGCCTGGAGAGGAAGCACCAGGAGTTGAGAGGCCTGGGTGGGAACACAGGCCAGCATCTGGGTGACTGTTGTTTGAGTCACTGTGCAGGCCTCTGCCCTGTCCTCCAGGGGCCCCGATCTAGTCAGAAAGCGAGATCAGCAACAGGACTTAGAGGCCAGTGCAAAAAGTACGAGACCCCCTTGTTCAGAAATTGTTAAGAACAGCGACAGCAGCCCATTAAGCCCAGCGCCAGGCCCTTCGGAGAGCGGGTCCCTGCGTGACTCTCTGAAGTCGGCCCCGCTCAGGAGAAGAGATCTCAGGAAGAATCCCAGAGTCTACAGGGATCTCGTGCAAACGCAGAGCCTTCTGCCAGCGATTGCTGGGTGAGATGCACGTAGGCAGGTGAGGGCAGGTCTGAAATGTGGGGACCGTTCCTGGGATGTCTGAGCTCCAGCCTTGGCCAAGCCTGCTCTGTCCACCCCCGCCCCCCACCCCTGCTACAGTCATCACTCTGTGCTGCATCTTCAACTGCCGCGTGCCCCGGACCCGGAAGGAGATTGAAGCCCGCTACTTGCAGCGGAAGGCCGCCAAGATGTACACGGACAAACTGGAGACGGTGCCCCCCCTCAACGAGCTCACGGAGATCCCCGGAGGTGAGCAGGCAGGGGTCCCCCAACCCCACCCCCTCGCCACCTGTCCTGCCTGAACCAGCCCCTTTCTCAGTCCTGCCACCGAGAGTGGCCCTGCTCCTCCCCTCCCCCAGCATGAGGTTCTGGTCCCTGGAGACCAGAGTGCACAAATGGGCCCGAGGGAGGCAGGTAACACAAGGAGCTCTTGTGCAGGTGGGAGAGGTCTGGAAGGAAGAAGTGAAGGGCTGGCTGTGGGGGGGCTCTGGTGTGGGTCCTATGACCACCCCCCCCGCCTCACCCCTGCCCCTTCTCCTCTTCTACCCCACAGAGGATAAGAAGAAGAAGAAGAAGAAGGACAGTGTGGACACCGTGGCCATCAAGGTAGAGGAGGATGAGAAGAATGAAGCCAAGAAGAAGAAAGGGGAGAAATGAGGAGGGCTTCCTGGAGGTGGCAGCCCAGGCTGGCTAGCCCTGGGGCTCAAGTTCTGGCCAGGGTCCAGGCATCTTGGACTCCCAGCACATCCATGGACTAGAGAGATTGCAGAACACCCTTTCTTGGCTCCGAGGGGCCCGCTGAGGCCCCATCCTGACAGCCCACTGGGGGGCAGGGGCCGGACTGCACCTAGCATCCTGCCTCCCAGCCTGGACTCCGCTCCTTTCACCCCACCCACGTGGCCACTCAGCAAAGGTGGTCTTGGGCCACTGTCCCCCTGCAGATCCGGAGTGGGGTGGCCTTGCACCCACCCAGACATGCCTCTGTCCCTACTGCCAGGAACAGCAGTGGCTCTACGGGGCTGACGGGACATGGCTTGCCTCTTAGAAGGAGACGGCAGAACTGGAGGGGCTGGAGTGTGACGCCACAGCCAGGCTGGCCGCGGGGGAGAAGAGGGTCACTGGGGGAAGCTGAGCCAAGGCTCTCAGCCTTCTCCAGACAGCAGCCCTGGTAGCCAGGGAGCTTGCCCAGGCCCAGCCGGGGTCCTGGCCGGGGAGGTGACTAGAATGCCCATCTGGAAGCAGGGGAACTCCAGCCCCACATGCCAGGCAGCTGCACTGGACCTGAGGCTGCTGGGAGGCCAAGTGTGAGGCCTGGGGACTCGGGGCTGGGGGGGGTTCAGGGGTGGGTCGGGGTGCAGAAGGCTGAGACCTGCGGGCTAAAGGGAGAACGGAAGAAAGCTGGTAGCAGGGCCCCATCTGGGAGAATCCAGGGAGTCCCAGAGAAGCCGAGGGGAGCATTGTGGGAGTCGTCAGGGTCCCCCCCTGCCAGGGTCACCGCAGGGGACAGTCAGGGGCGCCAAGGCAGCAGGCAGCCTTCCGCCCGTTGTGCAGAACAGCATCCAGCTCCCTCTTCTACCACCTCAACGGTGCGCCTCAGGGAGTCACTGCTGACCAGAGTCGGGGAGGCCCACAGCCCTCACCCCAAGGCTGACTTCTCGGGGAGGGGACATACAGAGGGATTTCCCGATGGTGGCTAACCTCCGTGGAGGTGCACACGTCTGGGCCTGGAAACTGAGGAGACACCATGGTTCCTGAGCTGGGGCGAGCAGCCTTGGTGGCCTGCGACGGATGTGTAAATAAAGCTGAGTGCCTTCTTGTACCTGAGTGGCCTGAGATGATCCCTCAGGGTGCCCTGTCCCTGGAGCATATACGCAGAGGGTGACGCACTGTGACAGGCTGGCGGGCAGCACTGGCCAAGCAGGAGCTCCCTCCCCTAACTATGTATGCCCCCAGCCTGAACTGGGACGAGCTGGAGGGAGAGGCACCAGTGGCCAGCTGGGCATCGAGACCGGGAGGAAGCTGCCCCCTCTCTCCTCCTGTCCCCTCCACTTTGTGGCCTGAGCCCCATGCTGGGGACACAAGAGGGGTCCAATGTGGATCCTGACCTGGAGCTGGATGATTGTGATGCAAGGAGAGGGACCTGGGAAGACACGGGTCACGGAGCCACGAAGGGACAGAGAAACCCCAGAGGCCCCGCTGTGGGCCTGGAGTCAGAACCCTGACTCTGTCCTCACAGTCCAGCCTACGGGCTTCTCATGCAGGAAGTTAAGGTTGTGGCTAAGGTCCTACGACACATACAGGCCAGAGTCTTCCTGTGTGGCCCAGTCAACAGAGGCCCAGAGGGGCAGGGGCCACCGGAAGTCCGAGAACCTGCTGGTAAAGACTGGGGGATGTCCAGGCCGGGGCTGCATCTGCCCTGCTCCCTGGTCTCTGACCTAGGGCCTCTATTGGTCTCTCTTGGACAGGCAGGGCTGCCACCCTTAACGTCTGAGCCCCGTGGGCACCTGCCTCAGGCTCTAGGCAGGGCACAGGGCTGGAAGGTCCAAGTTCACTACAGTGCTTCAGGGCAGAGACGGAGTGGGAGGGGGTGTGGCTCCAGCCAAAGTCAAGGAGAGCCTGACTCCCACTAAAGCAGCCCAGAAAACACGCTCCCTGCCCCGGCCCAGATATAGCCGCCCCTTCACCCCAGCCTCACCCTGTGTCCCAGCAGCCCCATTTCAGCCCACAGAGTACATTCTGGACCCCAGTATCATTCCTATACTCTCCCTCCACTTTCTGCGGGAGCCACCCCAAACCTATAGATGGAGACAGACCCAGGGGGCTCTGCGCCTTTCAGGAGAGACAGTCTGGAGTCCCCTCCCCCCCCCCCCCCCCCCCCCCCCGGCTCGCTCATCTCCCACTCAAGCAGACCCAGGAAGGAAGCAGCTTGGGGAAGAGAAGCGTTTAATTGAGCACCTCATCTCTGCTCTGCCCTGCCCTGCGGGGCAGGGAGAGCTACACCTGTAGCATGCTGGGCCCAGAGGGTGAGGACGGCACCCCCAGGTGACAGCACGAGGGTGTCAGAGGGCAGCAAGGAGGCTGAGGGACAGCAGGAGCACCAGGAGCAGGGCCCTGGATGGGGCTGGCAGGGCCTGCCCGCTGACCTGTTCCCAGATCCAGTGCTGGTAGGCGGTGACCTGCAGGTAGATGGGCGGGGCCTCGCTCCTCCCGCAGCCTGGGCCCCAGGTCACCAGTCCCACCAGGTACCACGTATCATCCACAGAACAGGCCAAGGGCTCACCACTTATCTCCTGCAGGAGGGGTGTGTAACGGAAAGGGTCAGGGGGCCCGGGTGTGGCCAGAGGGAAATGTGCTCTGGCTCAAGGACAAGGCAAGGTACCCTCACGCCACTTCTCTTCCACAGCAGCTCCCCCCCTACAACCCAGGGGGTCAACTAGCTGAGAGGTACCCTCGAGGTCCAGACCCAGGAGACCTCCCTCAGAGAGGTTCACCTCCCCCTCTCATGCCAGGCTCCCCACCCCCCTTCTTCTCACCACCCCCTTCTCTCTCCTCTCCGATCTTCCTCTCCCATCTCTCCCTCCGTCCTCCCCTCCCCTCTGAGTGCCCCCCCCCATCTTTGCAGGCGCCCCTGGAGGTGAGGGAGCAAGGAGGAAGGTGCTCACGTAGCAGAAGCGTTCCCTGTCCAAGTCCTCCGCACAGACCATCTGGGAGTCCACGACCCGAACCAGAGAGGGCACTTTGGAGACCTTGTGGTATAACTTGTCACAATCCTTGTTGTTCAGGATGGTGACTCCCTTCTCCTGAATGCTCAGGAACTGGGGCCACATGCCTGCGGGGACAGGTCCCCCATCGTTCAGGTTTGGTGCTCTCACCACTGCCAGCCTGGGGGCTGTCCTTTCTGCGGCTGGCCTGCTCCCCCAGCCTCTGAGGAGGCCCTCCTGGAGATTTTGGAGCAGGCTGCCCTCAGCCTGGCCTCTCCGGGCCTGGTCTCACCCCTACCAGACTCCAGTCCACAGGGTCTGTTCCCGTCTCAGCAGCTTGGCTTCTGCCCTTCCAGCTCGAAGGCCTGCCCAGCCCCTCTCAGGTCCAAATCCCTCCTTTGCTAAGCCTCCCCCAAAGGCCTCTTTCACCCTAGCTAACCCAGACCCCCCTGCTCTGTGGGCTCTAGGCCCTCCCTCTTCCTCTCCCCTCCTCCCTCTCTCCAGTGTGACTCTGTCTCTAGCTGGAGCCCCTGGGGGGCCAGACTTCCAACCATCCTCAGCCATTCCCCAGACAGGCCACGGCAGGAAAGACAAACAGCCACCCCCAGCCCCAGGCTGGAACTACTGCAGACTATTTTTAGGCAAGATGGTTCCGTGAAGCCAAAGGGACGAGCACCTGCCTTGTGGAAAAGAGGGGCTCCCTGAATGGACTGGGCCTTCCTAAAACTCTTAAGAAAATAGCCCCTGGGTGGGCCTGGGAAGACACTCCTATACTTTGGGCCTTGCTCCATCCCCGGGGAAGATAAAGGCCTTGAGGTTCACTGGCTGCAGACTGCCCTTAGCCAACCACTGGGGGTTGGGGGAACTTTCTACCATCTTTCTACAGTCACCAAACCCTGCTCCTCCCACTGCAAATTTCTGCTTCAAATCCTGGGATTGCGTGCCCAAGGCAAGCTGTCACTCTGTGCCCCTCTGCCTTCAAGGAAGTCCCATTTACAGGCCCTGGCCTGGGGCTGAGGGCTCATGGGCCATCTGGGACCCTTCAGGCCTGAATGGTCATGACGCATTTGGGGCCAAGACCCCCCAGGGGGAAGGAGACCAGAGCCCGACAGGAAGATGTCTCAGAAACAGCTGTCCACAGAGACCCCGGGCTTCCCCCACTCCCGACGGGTCCTCCCACACACACCACCCCGCCCCCCACCAGGTCCGGAGAGGCTCTGACTCACCGTCAAACTTGGGGTGTCCCCAGCCCGTTACAGTGCAGAGGGAGCCGTCCTTCACCTCAAAGTCCAAACCAGGCAGGCAGATGGGCCAGACGTACTTGTTGTATTTGAGTGGCCACGTGAGCTTGAGGAGGGCAATGTCGTGGGCCCGACCCACCCAGGACCAGTACCGATGCGGCCGGTACCGTTTGTTCAAGATGACCTGGTACACCGGGACGTCGGAGGTCGTCGGGGATTTCTGGTCTATTCTCGGGCTCCCCACCCGCACTGAATAGGTAACATTTTGCCTAGGGGACCACGAGGGGAGTCTGTCTTCAGGTCCGGGCAACCCACCCGGGCCTCCCCACCGCTGTGGCACTCCGAGTCGGTCCAGGCAGGCCACCCACCTACTTCAAGCCCCCCGAGCCCCTCTCTCCCAACAGCTGTGAACAGGGCCCTCTGCACACCCGCTGTGTGGTCCTGCCCTTTACAACAACCCTTTACTTTACAGAGAGGAAAACCAACGCTCAGAGAAGCCCAGCAAACAGCTCAAGGCTACACAGCCAAGAAGTGGCAGAGCTGGGACGTGACCTGGTTTTCTCTAGTTCCAAACTCCGGACTCTGTCTGGCACCCAGTGCAGGCCCTGGAAGTGGCAGAGGCCGGGCACAATCAATCAGCCACAGCCTCGCCCTCCAGCCTCCTTTCCCAGCATGCCTCTCAAGTCTCCAGGTCAGCCCTTAGGCTTGGAGCAGGCTTTTCCACGGATGCTGCCCTCAGGCCCTCCCCTGGCCCTGGCACGTCGGCATGCTCTCTCTCTTGTCCCCACGCTGCCCAGACTCCCCGGTGAGCACCTGTCTTCTCATCTATCGGCCCCAGCAAGCCAAGAGGAGTGATGCGTCCCCTCTCTGCCCCTGGGGCCCAGGCCAGGGTTTCAAAGGAGGGTCAAAGGCTATGGGTAGAAGGCAGGCAGGCATGAGTAAGTGAAGCAAGTGGTGTGTGGGACGGAGGACTTAGGACCTCCTCTCTGTGGCTAGGAGGAAGGAGGTCTGGCTAGTGGCTTCCAAGCCCCCATCTCCTATCTGCAGCAGGACTGCTGGGGCCTGGGGAGCCAAAGGGAGGGGAGCAAGTGCCCAGCCCTCTGGGAAGGAATCAGGAATCGGCAGGACTCAGCCTGCACATGCTGAGAGCTGAAGAGAGAGGCTGGGGCTGGGACCAGAGCACGGCTCCCGCCGAAGGCCCAGCTGGCAGCATGACCAGGCCCCGTGGCTCTGGACACCTTTCCACCCACCCACCTTGGCCCCAACTCACAAGATCAGGCAGTGGGCCACAGTCAGCACCCAGCGGGAGGCAATGAGGGTGCCCGCACAGATGTGTGTGCCGTTGGCCTGCACGCTGACCATCCATGGCCACCGCCGAGCCATGGCCTCTGGGTCCCTGAGGGTGGGGTCCTTCTCCTGGGAGGATCCGCAGCCTGAGGAGGAAGGTGAGAGCTTGCTGGAGGATGGGACCCTGCAAACCCACCCCGAGGCGCCTTCCCTCCCCTCAGCACCATCTCCTGCCTCTCCAGCTGTGGCCCACACTCAGGCGGTGATTCTCTTTTCCCACAGGAATTTCTCTTTTTTGCACATGAAAATGGAGGTCTGCAGCTTCTAAAGGGCCTCAGCACTGCCCAGGTACCCCTGTCCCTCCTCCCCAAGACCAGGGGCCCAGAGCATTCCCAGCCCCCATTCTGGTATGGAACTGGGCCTGGAACTCTGACCAGATCCTTCAGAAACTCATCCTTGTTTCTGTCTGCACCCACCCCCCATACATCGGCCCAGCCAGACCCCTCTCCCTCCTCTGGAGACCCTCCTGTGATTCAGTGAGATGACCCAAGAGAAAAACGGGCCATGGGCGTGAACAGACACATCCCAAGGATGACACCCCAGCAGCAAGCCAACCCCGAAGCTGCTGAGCCCCAGGAATCCTCTGGGAGCCCTGCAGACCTCAGCACAGGGAGGTTCCCCTCCACACCACCTGCCTGATGAAACTCAGTGGCTCTGGCCCCAAGGATGGGTGAGGGTTACCGGCCCAGATCGCTCACTCCCGGTTGCGGGGACCGTGCAGCCACTTTGGAAAACTTCTCAAACTGAAAATGCACATATCCAACCTCAGAGTAACCCACCCGCAGGGTTTTCCTGGGGGGGGGGGTGTCTGTGGATGGGGAGATCAGCTGCATGGGCCAGCACCAGCACGTGTTGGCATAGGAGAGGGGGTGTTTGCACGCACTGGGCCCTGTGAGACAGGCTTCTGGTGGCAGCTCAGTTGTGGGCACTGAGTTCCAAGATAAGAAATCATTCTGGGGGTTTCTGTTCAACACGATGGAAAGCCACTGCTGGAGAGAAGGTCACCTGGGGGTGCTCCCGAGACACCCATGGGTTGGCTCCCTGAAAGCTGTGCCGGAGATCCCCTAAGTCCTTGGCTGGGAGCCTGGGTCAGCTCTCAGCGGGGGGACACAGCAGCGCACCCCAGGCTCCTCTGAGTCTCCTTCCTTCCCACCTCTCCAGGACGGGAGGCCTGGCCCCCAGTAGATGCTCGGTATACCCCTGTAAAAGGAAGCTCTCTTCTCACTCCTCCCTGCACCTTCCTCCGCCGTCCCCATTGGTCCCCAGGGGTCACAGGTCCTTCAGATGGCTCCTGCACGCTCCTCCCCCAGGGAGTCCACGGTACTCACTGAGGAAGCTATTGTGCCCGGTAGAAACAGACATGGTCTGGGTCTGGAGGGGCATGGGCTGCGACAGGTCGGTGGGGGCCTGGCGGGGAAGGCGAGGCTCGTCTGAGGGACAGGTGGCACTGGAGGCGCAGGGGACGCCAGGGTCGGCGGAAGCAGGCTCAGGCAGTGTCCCTGGGGCTTGACTTGCCAGGCAGCCTGAGGAAGGATGCAGTGAGGGTCAGGCTAGGCCGGGCGAGGCGGTCAGACGAGGCCCCGCGAGGGCCTGGGGGTGGGGGGGCAGGACGGGGCTCACCCACGGGCCTCGGTGGCAGCAGCAGCAGCAGCAGCAGCAGCAGAGGAAGAGCAGACGCCCCGGGGCCCTGAGGGCCCTGCGTGGGGGCCGGCGTCCTGCACGGGAGCTCCATTCGGGAGTGGCAGCGATGGCGCTGCGGTGCTCCTCTCGCGACGGCGCCCCCCATCGGCCGCCCGCGCGGGCGTCAGCCGTGTGGGCAAGGCTGGTGCCGCTGCCCCGTCCCACTTGAGCGCCCTCCAGTGGCCGCCCGCGGTGGCGCTCCCCGCGTCAGCCCAGGGGCGCCCGGAAGGGACTCAGGGCTTCTGCCCTCTGCCTCCTCCGCCCCTCGGTGTCGCTCACTGCACCTGGCCAGGCACTTCCTGGAGTCCCTCGGGCTAGTACAGCCAGTTCCCGTACCGCCTCACTCCTGCAGCCCACCGCCCTTGGCTGGGTTTGTGCTTCTGTCCCCCCACCCCCGTGAGATGGGACCCAACCTCTGGGGCTGTCCTCCGGGATTTCCAAAGGGCCCACCTTCCCCACATCCCCCAGCCTGGTAACTGCAGTGGGGCTTTGCCCCAGGGCACTGAAATTGAGCGGCTGGAAAGGCTTTCAAGAACGATGTTTGAAGATGGCATAATTTTAAGCAGCACCCGCCCTCCCTCCGATCAGCAAATGCTCTTCTCTGACAGATCCATCTGCTTGGGAAAGACTGTGTAGGCGATGTTCCTGGTCACAAAGGAAGAGTGACCATAGCCAGCAGACCCTGCTGGGAGCAGAAGGGTGCCTTCAGGTATGCTGGAATTGGGGGAACATTTTGATGGCTCCATGACATATATAACACATCTAATAAGTAGTGTGGGGAAATCCTATGGGCAACTTTGGTTCAAAGCTGTAGGGAAATTCTAGGTGAACGTGAAATCAAGTTAGGACACTCTACCTTTTGCGGGGACCTGCTGTCTTGGGAGACACTCAGGTTGGGCATTCAGCACTCCAGTCTCTGCGGAGACAACAAATCATACCCGTGACACTTGTGGCATCCAAAGGACAAGGGCTCTGAACCCAAGGCCCACCAGCTCTGAGCCACCCCCAGGCAATCTCCACTCTGGAGGCAGGGCTCTGGCTCCCTTGGGCCAGCCTGGCCTTGACCTCCAGAGTCTGATGCAGGTCGCTGAGGCAGCTTGGGAGCTCTGGGTGCCATCACCTCCTATGATTCATCCCAGCAAGCACTCTGCCTCAGCCCCTTTTTCTCCCCCTCACCCCAACATCCACCTCTGCCAGGGAGAGAAGAGGAACTGGTTGGGTTCTGGAGACCCTTAGGGGGATCTGAATGCCTGGGAGAGGCCCACAGATTCTGGAACCAAGTCCATAAATCTAAGTCGGGTCATGGAGTTTCTTGGGATGATGACAGATTCTCTTTGGAAGGCCTGAGGGGACTGCTGGTCAGAGACCCAGAGGAGGGCCATGGGGACTGGGGTTGCTGGGGTGCTGAGATGATTAAATAGGGAGTGGGGCCCACAGAGTCCCACCTGGTATTTGGCAGAAGAGGTAACTGCTTCCCAGAGTTGGGGGGCGGGGAACATGGCAAGTGGTGGCACAGGGAAGCCCCTCAGGGAAGGCTCCCCTTGAGACGACAGACAAGCCTCTCGGGGCTGGGGAGGCCCTGAAGGGTTCTGGCCCCGGTCAAGAAGAAAGAGGACTTCCATGGCGTAAAACTCAAGAGCATCTTCATTGAACAACTTAAAAACCAGTGGCTCTGGGACCCTCCCCCACGGGCTCTCTGTCCTGTTGTCACGTGCTCCCTGGGTCTGCATGGCTCCTGAGGGCAGATGGCGGGAGGAAGAAGGGGCCTCTGGGAGTGCCTGCCCCAGAGACATCGCTCACAGGAGCCACAGGGAGCCCAAGGACACCAGCAGAATGTAGCCCATGAGGGCGACTGGGCTCAGGAAGGCAGGGCCAGCCCTGTTGATGAATATCATGTTGGTGATCTGCTTCTTGATCCAGTAGGTGAAGTGGGAGGTGCTGGTGTAGATGCTCAGGAGGCGGGGCTGGTTGCAGCTCGGACTCCAGCTCACCACGCCCATCTGAATCCAGGTGTTGTTCACCTGGCAGACCAGGGAGCTGCCAGAATTATCCTGTGGAGCGGAGGAGGGGAGGCATGAGGGAGGCAGCACGAGGACCTCACTGCGAGCGCTGTGGAAATTCACACCTTCTTGAACCAGATCCTGAGTGCGAGCTGCCTTGGGCTTGTGTCATCCCTGCTAATGAGACATGGCTAGGAACCTGCTCTGTGACACGGGAGCTCTGCCCAGGGAACCCAGCTCAGGGTCACACTGACCTTCCTCTTCATTCTCCTGCTAAATCTTGACCAGAACCTCCACCCAACCCCCGTCCCCACCTCTGTGCTCCCTTAAATTCTGGTGGCCTCCAAGGTGCCACCCTTGACCACCTTACCTTCTTTCCCACACTTTTCCACACTTTCCCACACACTCCCACTGCTTGCAGAGTGACTATTTGAAATGCAAACCAGCCCCCTCTTTTTGTGTAAAGCAAGTGCAAGTATAAGAATAATGTTAATAACAACAAGCATCAAAAACTCATAGCTGTTATGTCTGCTGAGGGCAGGTTTATGATTTTTTTTAAACTTCCTCTATGCTCTTCTGTATTGTTGAAAAGTTTTATAAATCAGAAAAAGAGCTGTCTCTATACATTTATATACATATATATATTTAATGTAACTCAAACCAAGATTTAAAGAACATAATCTAATTAAGAATGCACGAGACACTTAAGGAAAAAAAATAATAAAACTATACCTAAGAATTAAAAGAAGACTGACAACCAGGTAAAGATATATTTTGGTTCTTAGGTGAGACAGCTGAAAACAACATAAAAATACCAACGCTCAACGTTTGGCTTTCTGCAGTGTGCAAGGCCAGATACCCTATCTGACCTTGCTGTAGATAATTAAATATGTGTGACATTAAAAAGTTCTCATTTTAAATGCACAGATGAGCTGGAAAGAAAATAAAGACTCCTCAGAGTCCAAAACCCAAGAGAGGGCTAAAACCCAGAGAGGTCAGCAAAGCCCACATGGCTTTGGTCCCAAGGCTATTTGCCAAAACCGGTGAAACTGAGCTTCCGTTTCCCCAGTGTTCCTCACTGGTGCCAGAGATAAAAGACAAAACCCAGGGCCTGTGCAAGGAGGGGAGCCCAAGGCAAAACCTCCTACAAAAAGCTACGCCTCCAAAAAAGGACCATGCCCTCTGAGGACAGAGAAACTAGGAACACCTGCCCCTCGTGTGAACTTGCAATTCGAATTCACACTATGTGTGTGATTCCAAAAACCCAACCAAGGATGTCGTTCAAAGTTGTCCTGGGTTCGTCATGTGCCCAGAGAATTCTCACAGAGGACACCCTAAGGAACATTTCCTCACTCTTTAAAGCATCATCCCACACATGGGGAAGTGGATACCATGAGCAAGTGCCAGCAGCAGAAAAAAAAAAAAAAAAAAAAAAAAGAACATAATTAGAGACTTCTTGGCTTGAGACTCAGAGATTATCACCCAGGGAAGGTTCAGTGTTTCTGGAAATGCAGCACTATTTCATAGGCTTGGGAGGGAGGCTATGGGTGTTGGCTGTGTTATTCTCTATTCTCTATATATGTTCTATAAATATGCTTTTGTCTCTTCAATAGAAAGCAAAAACTATTTTAAAAGATAACAGTGTCAATCCCCCTTACGTCAATCTCTAAAGTTCAAACAATTCCAAATAAAATGTCAGATGGATTTTTTTTTCAAGACCTTGATGATCTGATTCTAAAATTGATATTGAAGGGTATGAGTCCATGGATTCTATGACAGGTCTGAGAAAGAAGAGCAAATGGGAGAGTCAAGCTGGGGGCAGATTTGAGCCACCAGAGTTAAATGTATTTCAAATCTGTAATTACAGAAACTGTGGTACTGGCATAAAAATAGGAAAACAGACAAGTCATGCATTGGAGAGCCAACCCAATGCCAGCACGTGAGAAGATGTAGCACGTGCTCCAGAAAGCTCTGGGAAAGGAGATCTCTGTGGTAATGGTGGGAAACTGATGAAGAAAAATGAAGTTGGATCCTACCTAACAAAACTCTAGAGGAATTAAAACTCTCAACGTGAAAAGTTAAAGGCTCATTAAAAACATGTAGGCCATGACTTTACCTTGAGATGAAGCCCATGTTTTAAAATAAGATTCAAAGCCCACAAGTTGCAGAGGGGAGATGTGTTGGGCTTAATTACATCAAAATTATGACTATTCAGTGAAGGACACTGAATCTCATTGAAGATAGATGATGATTTAAGATAGGGCATTTACTCTGTTTAAAACCAGGGAGAGGTCAATATTTAATATATTGTAAGGACACCCTGAATGTTAACAAGCAGAGAAAGAGAATTGAGAGACTGGGGAAACTGGCAGAGTAGGAGAATCCTGGGCTCACCTCATCCCATGGATAAACCTAGATATCACCCACATCAGAGTAAATAAACCAGAAAATGACCCAAAGACTGGCAGAGCAAACTCACCACAGCTAAATATAGAGAAGAAGCCACATTGAATAGGGTAAGAAGGGTCAGACCCAGTCAGGAGCCAAACTGACCTGTAAGACTATCTGTGGGAGGGTGGGATGCCACAGGTGGAGGGAGGAGAGAGGAGTCCCTCAGGCACAGGGGATCCCCTCTGTGAAGACAAATGTCCGTATCATTTGGCTTTGAAAACCAGAGGGACCTAACTTTGTGAGTTCTTACAATCCATGGAGCTTAACACCTGGAACTTTAAAAAATCAATGGCTCAGCTCTGAGAGAGCCAGAGGGTCATAGGAAGTTGAGCCCCTGCTCTTAAAGAGATAGCATAACAAACAGCCATGGAAATGCAACATAGAAGCAGCAGTTTAAAAAACACCTAGCATATATGAGAAGGAGATTCATTTACTAATCTCAGAGTGTGTGCTGGAGGGGCAGGGATTTTGGGGAGACTTCTCCAAGAAGAAAAGACCCAGTAGGTGCATTTCTCACCCCCACCCTTCCAGCCTAGATACATGGACACTGGCAGGAATCAGCCCCTTGAGAACCCTCTCCATCTAGTTTGCTAAGAGTGCATCCTCATCCCACTCCTCCATCCAAGCTGGCCTCAGTGGAGTTTTCCCAGGCAGC